AATATTAAAATAACGAGATTTATGACCCTTAATTTCAATATAACATCGTCGACGTCGAAGCCAAGCGTCAATCCATAATATATAAGAACGAGGTATACCGAGCCTAAAAAGTTTTCCGATACAACCACTATGCCACAACTGATCAAACGCGGAACCAAAATCTATAAAGATAGTACAAACAGGTGCACTATTAGACATTAAACTGTAAACATCCTCCAGAAATAATAATAATCTAGTTTGAAGACGAAAACCATCACGAAAACCAGATTGATTATCTGGAAGTAAACCTTTACGTAACAGAACATCACGAAATCTATTGAGAAATAATCTCTCACCAATCTTAAGAAAAGAATCAATTAGTGAAATCGGACGTGTTAAAGCAGGAGAACATATAGATTCTTTTTTAGCAATCAAAATCATTCTAGTTTCTTTCCAAGCATCTGGAAGAACTGTATCTAGGAAAGAATGATTGAAGAGTTTAAGAAACAACGACCAATGAGTTAAATCAAGAAAATTAAACATATAATTACATATACCATGTGCATCAACTGATTTCTTTTTTCGTTTAACCTGTACAGTGTAAATCAACTCTTCCAAAGTAACCTCCGGAATTAATTCATCTACATTTTCATGATGTAAAAAAGGAGAATCAGTATAAGGATGAGGTCTAATGATCTCAGATTTACGAAAAAAATTTTCATAGTAGTCAGCTGCAACTGTACACATCGATACCGGATCTTTATTAGCTTTACCTGAAGAATCAATAAGAGCATGAACAGAAGAAGAAGAAGGTTTAAGATGTTTCTTTGTTCTAGACCAAAAGAAATTACCTGCAGGTGAAGAAGAATTTCGAAAATGAAGAACAGACGAAAGATTAGAAGAAAAGAAATTTTTTAATTCTTGCTTAGCTATTTTTCTCAAACAATTAACCTCATTTCTTAGTTCACTACATTTTGTTCGCATTTGTCGAAAGGAAAGCGCTCTGATAAATGAAAGAAAAGAACGGATTTCAACTGGAATAGCTGGACGATATTTTTCAATAGGAAAAACAATCGTACAACGAGCAGAAAGAAGAAATAAAAACTTTGTGTAATCATTATATAAAATATCAAGATTATTAAAGTTCCATAATCCTTCCCAAAAAGAGAAAGTATATTCAGTAAAAAGAGAAAAAACCTTCCAATGAACATTTTTTCCTACATTATTTTGTTCTATTTTTAATGGAATAACCGATAAGATCGGCACATGATCACTTGTAGTCTTACCACTATAAGCTTGAATAGTAATATTAATATTACTTGCAAAAGCATAGTCGACTTCTCGTTCAGAACGTAGAGAAGTTGGCATACCAGTAGTAAAAGGAGCAAGAAAATGTTCATCAGCCCAAGATAAAAGAGATTCTGCTTTTTGAATATCTTGACATAGATCTACATTAAAATCACCAAAAAATACACATTTTTTGGCTACATATGGAGACAAATCTGGCCAATTCCAAGATTTACTTGTCGGTGCATATACACCTATTAAACGAACAGTTTCTACTCCAAATATATCCAAAACACAAACATTAGGTATGTTACATTTAATTCGTGAAACTTTTACAAAATTCTTAACTAATATAAGAACGCCTCCGTTCTTATTTTCACCACGTTGAGCAAAGATTTGAAAGTCATTGCAAATTTTCTCAAAAAAAGACGAATCAAGAGGACCGGTTTCTAAAAGAATAAGAACATCCAATTTCAAAGAAGATAGAAGTAAAATAACTTCTTGCCATCTTAATGTTAAACCACGAACGTTGAAAGATAGAATATGTAATGAATTAGAACAAGAAAATGTATTACAATTCACACTCTTAGAAACACACTTTTGCCAACTAGAAAAACATTCAGAAATAGTTATACTAGTCTCCCATTCATTAAGAATTGCAGAAAGAAGATTAAAATCAAAACGCGATAACATAAATTTAGCTTTATTCAACAACTCGTTACGTTTACATAATTTATTGGAAGAAATACACGAAAAAAAAGGAATAGCAAAAGGCGATAAAGACATTAGTTTAATAAAGTTTTACCTTCTTGAACATTCTTCATTTGCATAAGGTAGTGCTCTATTTTACCTTTTAAATCAGTATCCAATGTATTACCCTTCTTATCTTTATTCAAAGATGAAATAAATGTAAATATATCTTGAAAAAAAGGTATCGATAAATTCATAAATAAATTTTCATGACGATCAATAAATAAACCATGATGAGTAACTTCTTTTTTCAAATCAAATTGATGCTTAGAAAGTTCATCCAAATTTTGTTTTATAAGATTATCACCTTCTTGTTTAGCAATAATAAATTGTTCAATTGTATTTTGTTTAGCTTCAAAACTAGCAAGTTGATTCTTCATTTCAGACATAGTATTCATTAATTCATCAAGTTTTTTCATCATAGGATTAATCATAGGATTAATTGTTGAATTAATTGTTGAATTAATTGCTGATGCATAAGAAACAGGAGGCGGTATAAAGTTTGACGATTTATACACATAATTTTTCATTATATTATTAGTATCAACTGTAGCTGCACGTGGATTATTCATATGTAAGAGCTTACGAGTAAGTTCTGCACGATAAGCTTTAACAACAGTACATTTAAGAGAACTAGATTTATGGTTCAATTGACAATGAATACATTTTTCAATCTTGGAACATATATGTTTCTTGATATCATCGACAAGTTCACTGCATGTTCGACAAGTTTCTTTAGTTTGAGGACATTGCTTTTTAAAATGGCCAAGTGCCATACACTTGGAGCAGATAAGTACATGAGCAGGAGCTAAGAATTCTGCAACATCATATGAAATGTGATTAACAAGAATTCGACGATCATTTAATAGTTTATCACGAACATTAGGACATGTAAATTCTAATTTAATCATTTTAATATCATTTTGAAATTTATTTTTCAATCTTAATATATTTTTAACTTGAGGAAATTTATCACGAATAACTTCACAAAATTCATCATAGTCGATATTTATATCAACATTCTTGATGATCACAGATAATTGAGGTGGAATTGAAGGTAACGAAGATAATATATATGATTCATTACCAAATAACTTTGGCCAATGTTCATGATTTAAAAAAAAAGAAAATGATATAACATCTTTAACATAGATAAGAATATTATATTGATTAATGTTTGAACTTGACCTAATTAAACGACAATTTAAAACATGAATATCAATGTGATGAACCGTTTTATAGTGACGAATTAATTCATCTTTAACTTGAGTAACAGTAACCTTTCCAGATTTAAACTGTAAAACAAAAGGTGAAAATGGAAAACGAGTTATAGCATAACGAGTTGATTCATTTGTAATCGAGAACCTTTGAGTTAATAGTGGATTAGAGTTAACATCATCAGCAATAACAGTATAATTATCATTTCCAGTACGTTGTTGATTAACAGAATTAACACGTGCAATAGGTGAAGTAATAATAACATGATTATTTTGATCAGTAACTTGCTTTAAACCACGATTAGAACTTTTTTTATATGATACTTCACGAAAATCATCAGTGACATCTATAGAGAGAGGACGACGAACTGATGACGTGGAAGAATTCATAAGATTAGAATCATTTGTTGATGAATAATTAACACATTGATTATCATTGACATTAAGTATACCAACATTTAAACCATGACCATGAACTAATTGAGAATTCGACACATTATTTAAGTTCAATGATAATAAATTAACAGAACCATCATCCTGAACATTACTTAATGCTTGTTCAACAACTTCTCCATCATTAAAAAGATTAGAGATTGAATTAGAAGTCATTATAATGACTTAAAATTCGAAAAAAGAGGAATAAATTACCAAAAGAATATTCCTCTTAATCACGCTAACACGTAAACAAAGAAATAAAGAGAAGTAAATAAAGAAAAGAAATGTATAATATCGTGTGAAGGAAAGAAAACGATGCGACTTATCAGTAGCTACGTAAACAGCGGAAGATCATCAATATATTTTGTATAAAGAGCTTATATATTGAATAAATTTGAATTTCATGAATAATTATTTTTATTTGTTTGTTGAAAATTCTCAGTAAAACGAAAACAAAAACCTTCAAATGAACCTGAAGTTATTATTGCACCACATGAATGTGCTGATATTGATGTTTTATCAAGTGTAGGAATATATTATTGAGTTGTTAAATTATCTGTTGTTAATTTTATTGTTGGATCATACTGATAAAATGATACAGCAATACCTAAATCAACAATGTGCAATTGAAACATCAAATTAAGTTCTCTATTAGGTGCAGGAGATGTTGGAACATTAAAAATTGAACGTAAACATGTTGCATTACTTTATACCTTTATTAATAGCATCAGATTGCTAATAGAAACTTGGTTTTGTTAAACAAATAAAATAAGAATTAAATCTTTATAATTTTATACTATTCTATATTTTCATATATGTCAATGTGATATCTGACTCGAAACAATTTTTTGTTAAAAGAGAAAACAATTGAAAGTTACTTATAATGAATTTTTTAAAAGTAATTTTGTTTGCAAATAAGCAGCAAGATGTCCTATGATGAAAATGAATTCATTTTTTTATTTATCGTTTCAAATGTAACACGAAATCCAGTAAATCTATCTCTTTAATCGAAATTTAGATTCAACTATTTCATTTTTTCATTCTCATATATAATATGAAAGTGAATGAATCTATTTGCTTATTCGAGATTTACATTCAACTATCTCAATTTCTCACTTTGGTATAGAATATGAAATTCAAGTAATCTATTCTATTATTCAGGATTCTCATTCAATTATTTCTTTTTTTCGTACGTATCGTTTCGATATTTAATATCAGATGGAGCCTATTCATTCTGTTATTCAAAACTTTCATTCAGCTAATTCTTTTTTGTCCCTTTATTGTTCGTATATATTTATATTAAAACTAATGAATTGTTTTATTTAACTTATTTATTGAATAAGTCAATTCGTTTCCGTTATTATTTTAATGGTAGTTTTCTATGAATCAATGTGATAAAAATAAGATATATTATATAGATTAGATGAAACAGATCATGGAAAAGTATGTGAAGTATATGTATTATTTTTTTATGGAAATATAATAATAAAGACTGATCAGTAGTTTAAATTTAATCAATGCATACTGTGAACTTATAGTGTGAAATAAAATATTAACTTGATACTTTCACAATTTCTCTTCTATTATTTACTTCATTTATATTTATTAGAAAAAAAAAGATAATTAGTAAAAAAACACTTGTATAACTATAAATGTAAAAGTATTTATTTGTTTGTTAATGAAGTAGTTGAATAATAATTATTGCACGTTGTTTTGAACATTTAACATTTTATAATAAATTCCACGTTTTTGTATTAGTTCTGTATGTGTGCCACTTTCTACTATAAGATCCATTTCAAGCACATCTATTATATGACATGAACGTATTGTTGAAAGACAATGTGCAATAATCATTGATGTTCGACTAGGATCTTTTATTTTAGCTTGATCAAGAATTTCTCTTGCTATATTTAATTAAAAATATTAAATGTGCCAATAAAAGAAAATAAATTTACTTAATCATTATATGGATTCATAGCACTTGTAACTTCAACTAATAAAAGAATGCTGTGTTGTTGGGTAAGTACACGAGCTAATGCAATACGTTGTTTTGCTCCAACTTCTGTATCATAACCTTAACAATGTAATTTAATATTACTAAATTTTTAATTTATTTAATGTGAAGAATTGTAGAAAATTATGATTTAATA